GAGAGAGAGAGAGAGAGAAAGAGAGAAAGAGAGAGAGAGAGAGAGAGAGAGAGAGAGCACCTACCGCGACCGCTCGCCGCCGTGAAATGGCTCCCGCCTTGATCGCCTTTGCCCTCGTGTGTGTGTTTGTCGGTGGGTGTGGGTGTGCGTTGTAATCCGCTATACACCAAAAAAGCATGACTCTGTGTGTGTGTGTGTGTGAGAGAGAGAGAGAGAGAGAGAGAGAGAGAGAGAGAGAGAGAGAGAGCGACCAGGGCGAGCGTTCCCGACACTGCCCCGTCCCCTCACACCCACCCGGCGACCGTCCCCTCACACCCACCCGGCGACATTCCACCGTGACGTTTCCAGTTTCGGGCCTGCCCGGGGCTTGAAAAGGTCGGCGCCGATTTATTTATTTATTTGTTTATTGGAAAATTGTTCAAATACCCCTAACAGTTTGGGTATCTCGTCAGATACCCCTCAAACACAGGGGTGTGCTGAAATGCCCCAAACTTCTGCATCTGCCCCCGTTCTGCTGGTCGGCAACTTTGCCATATACCCTGGCCCTGGGCTGCAGGGGGCCGTGCATTTCTTTTGCCATCTGCAGGGTCCAACGGCCAGAAATACCAGGGCATATAGACCAGTTGCCCAGGCCCCGGTAGGGGTATACACTAAAGGTGACAGGTCCAATTGGCGAGTGGGGTATTTAGCAAAGTGTCACTACTGTCATAGGGGCATTTCGCCATACCAATGCCTTTTAGGGGTATCTGACAAAATACCCCAGGGGGGGTCACGGACGGGCCCGGACAACTCCATTTTTATTTGGGGGTGTCATTAATTTTATTTTTTATTTTAATTTTGACAAGGAATTTCGATGCCATCCCAAGGCAAAAGTTATTCAGTTTATTTTTCTGCATAACATAGTTGTTGTTTTTTTTTGGCGTTTGAGCTCAGACAGACTGCCCGGGGAGGATGTCCGACCAGTTGTCCGATCGGACAACCTCGGACAGTCAGGGGGGTCCCGGATGTCCGATCAGGTAACCTAGCAATTTTCCCTTTATTTATTTATTTTTTACTTTTTTTTTTATATAAAAGGGGGATGGTCTTGAGATATTGAGTTGAATAGACAAGGGGGGAGTTGACCTACAACACTCGAATTTGCGCTCGGGGTCTGCATTGTCCCCCTGTAGGCCCGACCTACCGGGTGGCCTGCCTAGTACTACGGCTTCGTTGCGGAGCCTGGCGTTACCCACTGTCATCTCCTCCACAAATTTTTTAATGTGGTAATACAAATTGCGTGGAAAAGGACGACACATAGCAGACACACAGCAGCCATAGCCAGATAGGTAAGAATTACGCGGTAAGAATGCTCACAAGGCAAGGAACTGGGTTGAACTGGGGTGGTCAGGGGTGAAATGGGCAGGTGTCGGACAGGTGCCCGCCGTGGCGAGTACTACCTTCTTCCCCCGAATAAAACGTACGGTCATTATGGTTATATCTAGACAGAAAGATGTCTCAAATACAACTATAATGACCGTGCGTTGTATTCGGGGGAAGAAGGTAGTGAAGGAAGTTTCACTCTCCTCTGTGATCGATAGTTAAAATTCAATAATCAAGATCCCGCTCCAAGTTTAGGAAGAGTCGTCAACAGCGAGCACAGTGTTGCGACAATCAAATGAAGATGCTATGAGAGCCTCTCGGTAGACTCAAGGAAAGTTCGTCACGTTCACATCTAACGTTCAGCTATCATCTTGTCGAACTTAGTCCGGTAAGTGCAAGCAACTCGGCTAGGAGGATAGTAGTTCAAAAGCCATATACTTGAGTTTGTAATTATTATTTATGGTTCTCTTTTGTTATTATGATGTTTGTATGTCAACAATTTCGTGCGTTCTTTTCTTTCCGATTTTGAGTAGAGAGTTCGGCATCGGTCACTTGGATTTATGAGCAGTTTCGTTATTTTATCCTCGGTGAGTAACTTTGGTGAATTTTTTTGCCTAGATCTATGTTCAACTTTATCGGGGCTTTGAGATATAGTGGTGCTTGTAATCAAGCAAATTCTTTTTTGAAGCTCTAGTCACAATATAGTGATCAAGATTTTAGATGAGAAACTTTTCTCACCTTTTCTTACATAGCTTTGCCATAGTAGTGCATATAGAGCATAATCTTCACTTCAACCTTTTCACGTGGGAACTCAGATCGCTATCCCCTCCGCTTGGAACAATATTGTTGAACATGTACAACAAGAAGTGCAAATGAACGAAAATCACAACAACTTGAATGGATCTCAATCTCCACCACCAGATTCAGAAACCTCAGAGATAATGAAAAATAGAGTCAGGGAATTACTCACCCAATGTTATGAAGAGGGTAACATCCCTAATGATATTCCCCTCGATAACATTGAAATCGTGGGTAGAGAGGCGATGCTTAGAGTGAAGTTATAAATTGACCAGATCAACGTAAACTGGCTAAGGAGATAACAATTGTTGCTGTCTTCCGGAACGTAGCAAAATATATGCCTCGAAAGGTGAAAGCAGACTTAGTGAGAGTATATGAAAATTGGTGGGTTAGGGGCAATGTGTTTAACCCTCCTGCTGAGAGAGGCAAAATCTGCTTCGAAGACCCTAATCAACAGAAAAATTTCATAAATAAAAATTCAATTGAAGGAAATGCTAAATCAAAAATTTCCAGGCTAATTATAAAAATTTCAGTTTATTAAGATGTTTTAAGTTTATGATGATCATTTTTACCTCAAAATAAACTGAAAAGTTATTTTTCCCTGAAAGTTCGAGAACAATCTTAAAAATTCAAATTTAACATTTCAATTTAATATAAATTGAAATAAAATGTATTGCCAAAAATTAAACTGAAATTTTATCTTTAAGTTTAACATAAATCAAAAGTATAACCGAAATGTTATTCATTGAATTTCATTTGAATAAAATTAAACTGGAAAATTGTCCTTGGTCAGAGAATTAAACTAAAAGGTGATTTATTGCCAGAAAAATAAATTGAAACGCAATTTATGCATACAAAAATAAATTGAAATGCCATTTGTAGAAGAAAATTATAACTGAAAGTTTATCCTTAGGGAAAAGATAAACTGAATTTGTTTGGTTTGCTTAAAATTAAAGTGAAAGTTTATCTTTAAAAATAAAATGAACTGAATATGTCATGTTTGAAAGAAATTACTCTATCGTTTTCTGTAGTTAAGTATCAGAAGGGTTCTTAACCTATAAAGTTATCAATCTGGTTAACACTAGAAATCTACTTTGCCTAATGTCACTTGGATCCTGATTGCACTCTACTAGGGGGCATTGCAATAGTCGGTGTCCACCTCGTTAAACTCATATAAGTAGTGTTTCTAAGTGACACCCACCAAACAACCTATGTCACTAAGGCAAACCACCAACCAATTTCATAGACACCGTGATAAAAATGATAATAAACTCCGAGTCGTGGGATGTGTACACCTGGTCCGAATGACCTACTTAGAGAAACTTCGGGCAATGCCTTAGCAAGGTCCAAAACCAAGAGAGGAAAGAAAAACTCAACCCCTTTTGGGCGCTTGCAACCGAAGGCAAACTTGTAGACACCTTCTGATTTACAGTCATACAAAACTTCATCATTAAAAAAAAAAAAAAAAATCATCTTACACCTTTTTGACCCCTTCAAACCCCATCTAACATTGTCAAAATGAAACTTTATGGGTGTGAAAGTCTTGAAATTGCATGGTCTTGTGACTCTACCCGCTGCGTCTGCCCAAATATTGATTATGCCTACAGACTGACATAAAAAATACCTGGTTCTGTCCAGGCCATCTGGCACACTTCAATGGAATCCTTTCCAAACGCGTCCCCCTTCCCCCCCCCACCCCAGCCCCCACGCCCTCCAAGTGTCCCCCTGATTCTCTCTCTCTCTCTCTCAGACACACACACACACACACACACATACACACACGCACATACACACACATACCGTGACACACACACACACACTGCACACACACACACATGCAAAGTAACGAACATACTCAGACATGCAGTATCTGCACATGCAAAGAACCATTCAAAGTACAACAGTAAAACAATCATTTCAGGAAAAAATCATAACTTTTTTTTTTTCAATATCAGATAGTGAATATCCCAAATATGTATTTGAGTGAGAGAGCGGGAGAAGGCATATTCTGTTGGCTACTAAGGGGCTCAGTTGAGCGTTGGAAACATGATGATTTAGATGACAAATGAAGAGATTGACAAACTAGTAAAGAAATGGAAAAACAGGTATTTTGACAACCATCACAGAGTTAAACAGGTAGCTAAAGTAAAATGATCCCATTAAAATGTTCAAACTCCAAAGCAATGTTATTCAAGTGCTACATAAAACCAATCAACAGTGAAATCAGTAAATGACAATGAACATCAACACAAAAAGAATAGATCGGAACACAAAGACTAAATATGAATAATACACAAGAACAAGTGTCGCAATTTTCTTCAGCCTCTCTGTTCTTCTCCGACTAAATTTGAGTAATACACAATAACCAGTGTCGCAATGTCGAGCGGGAGAAGGGATATTCTATTGGCTACTAAGGAGCTCAGTTAAGCGTTGGGGACATGATGATTTGGATGACAAATGAAGAGATTGACAAACTCGTGAACAAATGAAAAAACATGTATTTCGACAACCATCACACAGCTAAACAGGTAGCTACAGTAAAATGATCCAATTCAAACGTTTAAACTTCAAAGCAATGTTATTCAAGTGCTACATAAAACCAATCAACAGTGAAACCAGTGAATGACAATGAACATCAATACAAAAATAATAAATCGAAACACAAAGACTAAATATGAATAATACATAAGAACAAGTGTTTCAATTTCCTTCAGCCTCTCTGTTTTTCTCTGACTAATTTTTAATAATACAATAACCAGTGTCGCAATGTCCTCCAGCCTCACTCGTCTTCTCTAAACTTTTCTTCCTCACATTAATGATAGTCATGGAAGACTCTCTTCTCCAGCTAGGAACCTTCACTTCCTCCTTACGAGCTTCTCCAACCTTCTCCATCCTAGCCAACCTAACCTCTCTCCTCCCAAAAACCCCAGAGGCATGGGGGCATAACAATAAAGTTTTGATTGAAAAATGTCATTCCCTTGTGAAACCTTTGAGTCTTCTACTTCAGTATAGTTATATGGCGACCTGCAGCTACATAACTTTCCTTTTCCCTTAACGTGTCGCATACACAAGCTAATCAGTCCCTGCATACGAAAAATAACTCATGCAAACATTGAAAATCATATTCCAAATTTCCAA